ATATTCAAGGTCACAGGGGTCAAATTTGTTTAAAATCTTTAAACAACCTCTTATGAATAACCATGGGTCCCAGGATGTTTATACTTTGCAAGTTGCATCCTGAGATGAAAGGCTATACAATGTGTTCAACATAATGACTTTGTTCGACTTTCAATCACAGGGGTGAAATGTTTTAAAAAAAAATAACAGGGTCTTTTGAATGAATTTTAATCATAAATACTGATATTTTGCCTGTAGCTTTATTTTAGATCACTTTTAAGGTTACAAGTGTGAGTTTTATACCAGGTGAGCGATGCAGGCCCATTGGACCTCTTGTTGTCACTTTGAATAATATTTCGGTTCATGGTAAAAACAATAATCAACTCTCTGTATAAATATATCAGGTGACCGTTAAGGCCCATGGGCCTCTTGTTAAGACAATTGAGCCCTGTGACCTTGGAAATGGATGAAGGTCATTCATTTGAACAAACTTGGTAGCCCTTCATCCCAGCATGCTACAGTCCAAATATCATCACCCTGGGCATATTGGTTATTCATAAGAAGTTGTTTAAAGATTTTAACATATTTGGCCCCTGTGACCTTTAAAATAAGTGAAGGTCATTTATTTGAACAAACTTGGTAGCCCTTTATCCCAGCATGCTTCTGGCCCAATATCAGTCCCCTGGGCCTTTTGGTTATTGAGAAGAAGTTGTTTGAAGATTTAAGACATTTGACCCCTGTGACCTGGAAAGTTGGTCAAGGTCTTTCATTTGAACAAACTTGGTAGCCCTTCATCCCAGCATGTTACTTGCCAAATATCATTATCCTGGGCCTTTTGGTTATTGAAAAGAAGTTGTTTAAAGTTTTTAACATATTTGACCCCTGTGACCTTGAAAATAAGTGAAGGTCATTTATTTGAACCAACTTGGTAGCCCACCATTCCAGCATGTTATTTGCCAAATATCATTATCCTAGGTCTCTTAGTTATTCAGAAGAAGTTGTTTAAAGATTTTTTAAGACAATTGAGCCCTATGACCTTGGAAATGGATGAAGGTCATTCATTTGAACAAACTTGGTAGCCCTTCATCCCTGCATGCTACAGTCCAAATATCATCACCCTGGGCATATTGGTTATTCATAAGAAGTTGTTTAAAGTTTTTAACATATTTGACCCCTGTGACCTTGAAAATAAGTGAAGGTCATTTATTTGAACAAACTTGGTAGCCCTTTATCCCAGTTTGCTTCTGGCTAAATATCATCATCCTAGGCCTTTTGGTTATTGAGTAGAAGTTGTTTAAAGGAAAATATTGACGACGGACGCCTCACCATGGCATAAGCTCACTTGGCCCTTTGGGCCAGGTAAGCTAAAAACTGTGAAAACCAATGAGGTCCTACCTCTACTGTATAACCTTGTTTATCAGTTAAGATATTTATGATTCTTGAAAGATATTTAGTACTGGGTCCTTATAATAAACCTTTCAAGAAATGTATTGAAGATTTGTTGTTTTCATGTCCACTTCAGATTGCATGGATTCTGAAAAGCATGAGAAAGACTTTGTCATCAATAAAATTATGGCAAAACCTGTCAGGGCATTGACTAATGTTAAACAATGTATTAGGCCTGTCGGTATTAGGGAATTTGGTTTGAGTAAAACTGGCATGTATATATTGACATTCACAATAAAGATCTGAAGATAATGATGATATTCACAGAATGAGATCTGAAGATAATGATGTAAATCACTGTATACAGCGTTGATTTTAGCAGTGTTGTTTTGGTGCTGATGTTAAACCTTTGTGTAGTGTTCAACTTTGCAGTTTTAAGGTTATTGGATACAATAAACCTTGCTTTAACTCATTCACCCCTGAACATTTATAATGAACTATTCCGACCTTTGAATTGGAAGAGTTCAAATGTGTCTTCAGGGGTGAATGGTTTAAGAAAAGAAATATGTTGAAATTCACACAGTCACAAAAGTTCTGCAGTATTTTATTACAGGTCGGTCCATTATCAAATTGTCGTAAGTCACGTCTTGTTGGATCTTTTCTTTGACCTTTAGATTCACGAGACTGTGGAGACCATAAACCAGCTGAAGACTAACCGCGAATTCTTCCTGAGCTTCGCCAAGGATCCTCAGGAGTTCATCAACAATTGGCTCATCTCTCAAACACGTGACCTCAAGGTAGGAATTAACACAAGGAACAAGACTGTCCCGGTATAATTGTAGAGTTGAAGACAAACTTATGTAACACCGGCTTTTGAGATGATGCTATGATCTCATTGGAAATTAATCTACCTTCCTGTGCAATACGAAAATATTTTATTATCCTCATTATTAGCATGCATTGTGATCTCATTGTCACTACCCCTGATGTCTCTTTGAGAACATGGTCTTGCCTGGAGTTGATCTATATTAACATGGCGGTTATCATTAATGCAGCAGGAGATACTTACCCTTGGACTAACTGGAGTTATCCTACTTGTATTTTTTCATGGGTCTCAATGTAAATCCTTCCTTTGTTCATCTTCTCTCCTGGTTTTGTTTTGTTTACACCTTGGTATTCTCTTGTTGGAGGGGACCCTGATGTCCATTAAACATGTCAGTAACGAATTCAAGCAGTGCTTTATAGATGAATTTGATTTCACACCTATTTCATTTTACAAGCTGACCTTTCTGTATCTTATTTGCATTTCACTCTGCTACCACTAGTCATCCACCACTGGGTCGTAGGTTCAAGACCTACATGGGGCAGTCGCCATGTACTGGCCGTAGGTTGGTGTTTTTTCTCCAGTAGCGCCTGCTTTCCTCCACCACCAAAACCTTGCACGTCCTTAAATGACCATAGCTGTTAATAGGACGTCGGGTACTGGCTGTAGGTTGGTGGTTTTTCTCCAGTAACTCTGGCTTTCCTCCACCACCAAAACCTGGCACATGACGTCCTTAAATGACCATAGCTGTTAATAGGATATAAAACACAAACAAACAAACGCATGTTTGAAGTCACTGTTAACTTGATATGATCAGTAATGATTTGCTCTAATTACAGACGATCACAGATGTTGCTGGCAACCCTGAGGAGGAAAGACGTGCTGACTATTACTACAAACCATGGTCGCAGGAGGCGGTGTGTCGCTACTTCTACGGCAAGGTACGTAGGACTCTAGACGCATTGTCATAGCACTGTACACATGCTGTATCAGTTATAAAAACTACTTACATCATTACAACATTGTCCTAATTAACAGAAACAAATTTGAAAATAAAACTAAAAATGAGTAGATTTGTGTGTGATTGAAGGAAGAAAATTAAGTTCTGTATGTAATAAAAGGAAAGAGATTGACATAGGGCTTGTCGAATTCTTAAAATGTTTCACTCTTTTCGTTCAGCTAAAAAATTTGCAGGCATTTCAGATGTCAAACTTTACAACATATTTATACGTATGGAGACGTTGCGATGACGAAGGTCTAACATCGATTATTTCAGGTCCAGCAGAGACGTATGGAACTGGAGCAGGCACTGGGGATACGCAATACATAACACATCACCCTGGAATTCTTGTGACTTGGGAAAGTAACTGTGAATAGATCTGTGTAACTGACACTGATAAGACAAGCTTTAAGGAGGATTTAAGAAAGATCATTTGTTTGGGCTGTATGAAATATTTTGTGAAGGAAATTCATGAAATCTGAACTTGAAAATGGTTCATGAAGGAAACAAATCAAATCTGAACTGTCCAGCTGTGACATCTAGCCATACTGATTAATTACTGTAGATGGAAATTGTAATTTGAGGCTTAGCATGTTCAGGTGGTACATGGCAATTTAATTTAGAGAGGGGAGGACGGAAACATCTAACATTAACATTACAGAAGAATCTACATCTGTTTAATTAACCCTTTCACCACTGTAGACCGTAATGAACTAATCCATATCAATGCATGGAAGGATCTACTTAAGTGGCATAGGGGTGAAAGGGTTAACACCAAAACATGACTGTATACTGACAGACAGGTAGACATTCATCAACTATATGTTATGTATATAAGTCAGCTTTGTCAGTTTGTCAGAATACTGTAGTATTGTAGTTCATATTGTTTATAGTACATGTTTTGATTAAATGGGGAACACAGTTCATTGTAAAAATCATCTTTTTATTGTTGTCCAATCCATATATACGATGGTCTTATTTTTGTAGACTAAAAAGTGTTCAAATTAAGCTTGTAATTCATTGTACAAGTTGATAAAAAATTTGTAAATAAAACTGTGACACTATTTATGACTCCTTATATTTTCTAAATAAAACATATGTTCAACTCACCTTGTTCCACTAATCTACCCAAACAATGACCCAATCACCACACTTATTGTAACAGTTCATACACTATTATGTACATCTTTAACAGAAAAAGAATACCATAATCAACCTTGGTGAAAATATTTTCTTCACCCTGTTTGAGATAAAAAAAAAATTATCATAATCACTTAAACTTTGTGTTGTTATATCTGCCTTTTTTGTGCAACATCATGTATATAAAATTAAATTTATATCAATAATAATTACAGTGCAATATAAATTTGCCAAAAAGTTGTATCAGAATCATTGCATACAAAAAATAAAAAATAAAAGTATGGTTAAATAACCTCATTTAAAAAAAGAATGCTTTTGTTGCATTTTGAAAAGCAGACAACGCTATAGTTGATGTTTAACCATACATGGTATGGTGCAGTGTCAACCAACTGTCTGCTGTTTCTTTAGCAGTTTTCTTCAGTTAATTTTTGAAAGCTGAAAAACCAAGGTCATAATATTTTGCCTGCAGGTACCAGAGACAAAATGCAATTAAGTTTCTGTATAATAAATGACCTTGACTTTCAAGGTCACATGGGTCAAATATATGTTAAAATAATCAAGCAGGATATTCTAAAGAACCATAAGATCTAGAGCTATGATACTCCGGTGTGTTATGTAGACCAGCAGTGGAATCTTACCCTATGTATATTTTGGAACCCATGTAAGTTCAATACGTCCAAGGTCCTGATATTTGGTCAGTAGGTACCTTGATTACAGTGCTTTTTAGACGAACTGGGCTTGCTTGTTTTAAAAATCATTATCAAAATAATCGTAAGGTCTTGATGTAGAGCCCTGATACTTTGATGATATATAAGTACACCAGTACTCAAGCCTTGATACTTTGATGATATATAAGTACACCAGTACTCCAGTTTTTTTCTCAGCCAATGGGTCATGTTTACTTGGAAGCAAAAACCAAAAAGAATACCGAAGTGTCAACAAAAACCATCATTCGGAATCAAAACCGATAAAACTAGGGCAAAATATGAGCAAAGGAAAATATACATTGAAACCCTTAATGAAAGTACAAGGATAATAATACCAAGTGTTCCGAAAAGGTAAGCGCCTTCTGGTTCATCGATGACAACAGAGATGTAAATCTAAGTAACGTCACATCCTCACATCAAGAACTTTAGTATTGACAACAAACCACAAGGCTTTCTAACGAGCATAATAAAAAACGTCCAACTTCGTATCGCAAAAAGAAATGGCTTATTTCCCTGCGAGATCCTTAAGAGAGCATGGTCGTTCTTTCAGTCTGCTATGAGGGATAGCTGTGATAATTAAAAGATTCATTGTTGGATAGAAGAAACATTTTTGAGTAGAGGATTGTGCAAGATTGATCAAAAGATCTTTTGAATTCTTCAAAATCCACATACAACTTAAACTTTATATAACTTATAGAGTATGCTGTATCACACTTTGGCTGCAGACCTGATATGATGGTACTGACAATAGTAGTGAGATACTGGCCTGGTAATGAGATGATAATGGCCTGGTAGTGAGTTAATGGTGAGATAATGGCCTAGTAGTAAGATAATGGCCTGGTAGTGAGATAATGGCCTGATAGTGAGATAATGGCCCGGTAGTGAGATAATGGCCTGGTAGTGAGATACTGGCCTGGTAGTAAGATAATGGTGAGATAATGGCCTGGTAGTGAGATAATGGCCTGGTAGTGGGATAATGACCTGGTAGTGGGATAATGGCCTGGTAGTGAGACAATGGCCTGGTAGTGAGATAATGGCCTGATAGTGAGATAATAGCCCGGTAGTGACATAATTGCCTGATAGTAGATAATGGCCTGGTAGTGAGATAATGGCCTGGTAGTAAGATAATAGTGAGATAATGGCCTGGTAGTGAGATAATGGCCTGGTAGTGAGTTAATGGCCCGGTAGTGAGATAATGGCCTGGTAGTAGTTAATGCCCTGGTAGTGAGTTAATGCCCTTGTAGTGAGATAATGGCCTGGTAGTGAGATAATGGCCTGGTAGTGAGTTAATGGCCCGGTAGTGAGATAATGGCCTGGTAGTAGATAATGGCCTGGTAGTGAGTTAATGCCCTGGTAGTGAGGTAATGGCCTGGTAGTAGATACTGCCCTAGTAGTGAGTTAATGGCCTGGTAGTAGTTAATGCCCTGGTAGTGAGATAATGGCTTGGTAGTGAGATAATGGCCTGGTAGTGAGATAATGGCCTGGTAGTGAGATAATGACCTGGTAGTGAGATAATGGCCTGGTAGTGAGTTAATGCCCTTGAAGTGAGATGATAATGACCTAGTAGTGAGTTAATGGCCTGGTAGTGAGATAATGGCCTGGTAGTAGTTAATGCCCTGGTAGTAAGATAATGGCCTGGTAGTGAGATAATGGCCTGGTAGTGAGTTAATGGCCTGGTAGTGAAATACTGGCCTGGTAGTAGATAATGGCCTGGTAGTAAGATAATGGCCTGGTAGTGGGATAATGGCCTGGTAGTAGATAATGGCCTGGTACTGAGATAATGGCCTGGGAGTGAGATAATGCCCTGGTAGTGAGTTAATGCCCTTGTAGCGAGATGATAATGGCCTGGTAGTGAGTTAATGCCCCGGTAGTGAGGTAATGGCCTGGTAGTGAGATAATGGCCTGGTAGTGGGATAATGGCCTGGTAGTAGATAATGGCCTGGTAGTAAGATAATGGCCTGGTAGTGAGATAATGGCCTGGGAGTGAGATAATGGCCTGGTAGTAGATAATGCCCTGGTAGTGAGTAAATGCCCTGGTAGTGAGATGATAATAGCCTGGTAGTGAGATAATGGCGTGGTAGTAGTGAGATAATGGCCTGGTAGTAAGATAATGGCCTGGTAGTGATATATTGGCCTGGGAGTGAGCTCATGGCCTGGTAGTGAGGTAATGGCCTGGGAGTGAGATAATGGCCTGGTAGTGAGATAATGAGATAAAGGCCTGGTAGTGAGATAATGGCCTGGTAGTGAGATAATGGCCTGGTTGTGAGATAATGGCCTGGTAGTGAGATAGTGAGATAAAGGCCTGGTAGTGAGATAATGGCCTGGTAGTGAGACAATGGCTTGGTAGTGAGATAATGCCCTTGTAGTGAGATGATAATGGCCTGGTAGTGAGTTAATGCCCTGGTAGTGAGATAATGGCCTGGTAGTAGATAATGCCCTGGTAGTGAGTAAATGCCCTGGTAATGAGATGATAATTGAGATAATGGCCTGGTAGTGAGATAATGAGATAAAGTAATGGCCTGGTAGTAAGATAATGGCCTGGTAGTGATATATTGGCCTGGTAATGAGCTCATGGCCTGGTAGTGAGATAATGGCCTGGTAGTGAGATAATGGCCTGATCGTGAGATAATGGCCTGGTAGTGAGATAATGGCCTGGGAGTGAGATAATGACATGGTAGCAAGATAATGGCCTGGTAGTGAGATAATAATGACCTGGTAGTGAGTTAATGCCCTGGTAGTGAGATAATGGCCTGGTAGTGAGATAATGGCCTGGTAGTGAGATAATGGCCCGGTTGTGAGATAATGGCCTGGTAGTGAGATAATGCCCTGGTAGTGTGATAATGGCCTGGTAGTGAGATAATGGCCTGGTAGTGAGTTAATGGCCTGGTAGTGAGTTAATGGCCTGGTAGTGAAATAATGCCCTGGTAGTGAGTTAATGGCCTGGTAGTGAGATAATGGCCTGGTTTAGTAATAGAGACGAGGCTCGATATAACGCTGTTTATAAGGATTCTTGTGAATTTTCGGAAACCAATGCAGACGAGGCAGGTCGAAAAGAACACCAGAATTAGCTCTGCCTTTTTGACTTATATCGATGTCATTTCATGGAATTGAGATCAGAACCCTATAACCATATACGTATCTTAAATAGATTGGCTGTGAAGAGTTCTTGGTCTCAGAAGACAGCTCTTGCTCAAGTATTGGGCTTCTATATACTTAATGATAACATTTTGTCATGATTACTTGTGCGATGTGAATGAAACTTGTCCCCTCGGTCTCTTGTGAAACAAAAAAGTTATCCAACAATACTCTGATAGAATTCACCGCTCAAAAAATTTTCTTTTCAGAAGATTAATTGAGGTATAGAGTATGTAACGGAAGAGACTTAGGGCCATGTAGAACAAAATAAATTTCGTTTTTTCGTGTTAATAACTCGAAATTTCAAGATAATGAAACGAAATTTCGACTTACTAACATTTCGTTATAATTCAGATCATGTTGATATAAAACATGAAAGATTTGTTTATCTTCCCGCCAAACCGTGTCTTCATCTCTATTCAGATCAAATGATGAAACAAGAATGATGTTTCGAAAGGTACATGCTAATTTTTATTATTTATTAACTCCTAATAATGCTTAATGTGTTGTGTTAGTAAAGTCAATAATGCAAAAACGTTTACAGATGTTACAGGGCGGTTTTTATGGGCAGCTATATCTTTAAAAAAAATCTTGATATGGACGATTGATAATAAAAATTTAACGGCCATTTCGTAGGTGAGCAGTTAACGGTATATCGTCGTTTAGAGTTATATTTGTAACAGCAGGAGGCGAACTATAATATATGCCAAATTTAGGGTCAAAATTCGGCCCCCAGTTCAACTTCTTTTATTTTTTCGTCATATGTAGATACATAAAAATGAACAATAACTGCATATATGATTATTCATTATTACTAGTGCACCTCCTTGCGTAACACCAGGTTGAGTAACGGGGATATCCTAACAAAATGACAGATTAATGTCACAAGCGAATGTGATTCTGAAAATGCATTATGATAGTCTATAGTGTATACAATTACTGTTATTTTGATACTAAATATGTCATTGGTATACATAAGGAAGCGTGGTAGGAATGATCGACTCATAGTCCTGGCAAAGTGTTGTTATTTTTCGGGTCAATCAGAAATCCAATATGGCCACCACGGCCGCCATTTTGAAAAACT